CAGTATAAATAGGCAACAAGATTTCATATTAACAAGATGGTGCTTCAATAAAGCTAATTGGAAAAAAATTTAAAATCACTTGTGAAAAAAACAGCCATGTGGTTACATTAAAAGGTAACATTGAAGAATGTTCGAAACAGATAACAGAACACATTATAAATGCTGCAAATTCTAGCATCCCAAAAATCAAAGTTAAAAATAAGAAAAAAGTAGTTCCTTGGTGGAATGATGAATGCAGTACAGCAATTAAAGAACGTAACAAAGCATTTAAAACATTACAGAAAAATTTAATAACCGAAAATATTATTGAATATAAAAAGAAAAGAGCAATGGCTCGCAAAATTATTAAAGAAGCTAAAAAGAAAACATGGAGAGAATATTGCTCCTCAATAGGTTCAGAAACGAAATTGCAGAACGTTTGGTCAATGTTTAGGAAAATGGCTGGGAAAAGGAATAGGCCTAATGTTAAAATGCCAGCATTAGTCAGAGGACAGGAAATATTAATTTTAAATAAGGATAAGGCAGATTTATTAGGGGAGACATTTGCTGCAGTTCATAGACAACAGAAAACACAAAAACTTAGAAATTAAAAAAGTATATTGGAAAAATGTCAAAAATGCATGTCAACATTAGACATGAATATAACCATGAAAGAAATGAAAACAGTACTGAAAGGGACAGGHTATTCAGCTCCAGGAGAGGATCAACAATGTTATATTATGTTTAAACAGATACCAGAAGTAACATTGAAATTAATATTACAATTATTTAATAAAATATGGAATGAAGGTTTAATACCAAATAGYTGGAAAAGGGCAATAATACTTCCATTTAATAAACCAGGGAAAGATCCTATCAGTCCAAATAACTATAGACCAATAGCTTTAACTTCTCATTTAAGTAAATGGATGGAGAAAATAATAGTCAGTAGATTAGGATATGTCCTTGAGCATAATAAACTAATGAATGGATACCAGTGTGGCTTTAGAACAGGGAGATCAACAATGGATGCTCTAACTAGAGTATGTAATGATATAGAGAAAACTTTAAAAATGAAGGAGGTAATGATTATAGTATTTTTTGACATAGAAAAAGCATATGATTCACTGTGGAGAGAAGGACTACTTATAAAAATCAATCAGATGGGAATTAGTGGAAAGATGTATAATTGGATAGCAAATTTTTTGATGGATAGAAAAATAAGACTTAAGATTGGGAACAATTATTCGAAAGAGTTTAATGTGGAAAATGGRATACCTCAAGGTAGTGCAATTAGTCCAATATTATTTAATATAATGATTAATGACATTTTTTCCGAAACTGATAAATGTATAAAATCTGCATTATATGCAGATGATGGAGCCATATGGRTGAGGGGAAAGAATGTAAAACATGTAGTAGAAAAATTAAGAAGGCAATTAATCAAGTGGAAAAATGGTCTTATGCATGGGGCTTTAAATTATCAGCAAGCAAGTCTTGTTTTATGGTTGTTACAAATAAAAGAAATGTCAATACAGGAACAATAACATTATACGCACAACCTTTGGAAAGGGTCAAAGAATTTAAATACCTAGGATTATGGTTAGATAGCTCTTATACATGGAAAATACATATAGAAATCTTAGAAACTAAATGTAAGAAAGTTATAAATCTACTTAAAGCTGTGGCTGGAAATAATTGGGGTGCAGATAGACAGTCATTATTAAACATATATAGGGCTCTTATGAGATCAATAATTGATTATGGCTGTTTTATATATGGAGCAGCAGCTAAAACAACACTACAAAAGATAGATAGACTACAGAGTAGGGCTTTGCGTATATGTACAGGAGTGGTGAAAACGACACCTATTAATGCTCTTCTAATAGAGACTGGAGAGACCCCGCTGRAAATGAGAAGAATAAAATTAGCTTTAGTTTATTGGATGAAAATTAAAGGTAATAAAGAAGAGAATATAACATCAATTATATTACAAAACTGTTGGGAATATGCAAAGTTTCAGAGCAATGGATTTGGATGGATGATTAGTAAACTGACCAAAATGTATGGATTAGAGGATAAGGAAATAGCCCAGTTTAATCCAATTAGTGTTATTTCTCCATGGCTATTCTCTGAGGTTAATGTAGACATGAGAMTTCTTAAAATGAAAAATGATGGGAATTTAAATGAAATAGGGGTAATGACTGATGTATATTTAAGAAAATCATATTACAACTACCTCAAAATCTATTCAGATGGTTCTAAAAATCTCAAAGGACGTGTGGGAATAGGAATAAATATACCAGAGTTTGAAATTCACATCTCCAAAAGATTATCAGATCACCTATCGGTTTTCACAGCAGAAACGATGGCAGTTATACTAAGCTTACAGTGGGTAGAGGAGGTTCGACCAGACAGGGTGGTGATATGTACAGATTCTAAAGCAGTTTTAGAAAGTATTCAGGGAGAAGGTAATGATAGGAAAGATTTAGTATTAGAAACACTACATAGTTTATTTAGATTATGTAGAAGTGGCATTGATGTTTGGTTCTGCTGGGTACCAGCTCATGAAGGAGTTAAAGGAAATGAAAAAAGCAGATAAATTAGCAAAAAGGGCATTAGAAATGGCAATAACAATTATAATTCCTTTTGGGAAAGGGGGAGGGAAATTATTTATTAAGAATAAAGAAATGGAAGAATGGCAAAAAAGGTGGAATGAAGATAAGAAAGGGAGAAGATTATATAAAGTACAAAAGTCAGTATTAATTAGAAATATTAATGAGAGAAACAGAAGGGAAGAAATAATTATGACCAGATTAAGAGTAGGTCATACATATTTAAATGACAACTTATATTTAATAGGGAAGAAAAGTAATGATAAATGTGAAGGATGTGGAGAGAAAGAAAATGTAGAGCATGTATTAATGAACTGTAGAACATATGAATATGAAAGGGAGAATTAGAAAAGAATGGTTAGAAGGACAGGTCAAGAATGGAGACTTAAAGGAATATTAGGAAATGAAGGAAACCTAATGGATATTTATAAATTAAGGAAAGCATTATTTAATTTTCTGAAAAATACAAGATTAATAAATAGAATTTAATAGATGTAAAGAAATGTTGCTACACACTCGTGTACAGTAGGTGGCGGTATGCACCTTAAAGTTGCTTGCAATCCGTCATAATAGAAGAGAAGAAGAAGAAGAAGTTGTTTTGTATTCAGCAGCAGCTAACTCCCTGTCCTCTGCTGGACAGAGAGGAGCTGCAGCAGCTCCATGTGGAGACAGCAGGTCAGAACAGAGGAAGAAGAGAAGATCTGCTGATCAGAAGAGAAAAACACAAACTGTTTACAGTCAAACATCAGCTCCACACAGCAGGTTTGTGTCTTTGATTCTTTCTGTTTAATGTCAGGATGTTAGCAGCAGGTTTCTGCTAGCTAAAGGCTTTCCTCTCTTTAGAAGCACGTGAGTAGCTCTCTGTGCTAATAGCTTAGCATTCTAACAGATGACGTCATCAATGAGCTCTGC